GCAACAGCAACCTCACCCTCCTCCGCTGCCACGGCCGCCGTCTCCTCTATTGCCTCCGCGCCGCGCTCCACCTCCTGCGCGCGCTGCCCCGCCTCGTCCAGGAGGCGCTCCACGTCACTGGGCCGGCCGATGATCTGCGGTGGTGGCTGCGGCTGCGGCCCTGGGCGGGGCAATACATTTAGGCGGACGTACTCAGCAGCGTCCTGATGGAGCTGGGAGCGGAAGGCCTGCGCCGCCGCGAGCCCTGCTGCTCCTGCGCCCACAAGGTCCGCTGCCGCCTGAGCGCCGTCGGCCGCGCTGCGCAGACGGCCCGTGATGGAGGGCGGGCCCTGACCGTTGTTCCGGGTCTCCTGCAAGGTCGTCCTCGCCGAAGCGGTTTCCTCCTTGGCGCATCCGGGCCAAGTCCTCGTCCGTGGCCTCTCCAGGGCGGGCCGTCCAGCGACAAAACGCAGCTGGCAAATTCGAATATAGCAGTACCAGTGCGGATTTGCATTTCGACACCGGGTGCTTTTTTAGGTGCCTTTGCCACAGCCGAACACTTGCAAGACAGACACATCCTGCTCTTGCTGACTGTTGGGAATCTCTTGAGAGGCTGGCCGGCGTGGTTCAGGGGCCACCACGAAACTTGAGCCAACAAGACGCGCTTGAACACTTAGCCTTGGCGACCTTGGCGACCTTCTTAAGCACTGAGCACGCCTGCCAGACTGAGCGCACTGCTGCACTTGAGCCAAACAAAGAGTTACATTTGTTTGTTTGCTTTCAACCAACATTTGCTGCAACTTCAAGACTTTCCTTTTTCTACTTGACTTGAGTCAAAGTACGTTTGGGAGCACAAGCCCTGGCAAGATTGAAAATCAGCAAAAACAAGATGTCAGAAAAACATTCACGCAAGAAACAACAAAGGTCCTTGCCGCGGGAAACATGGGGGGTTGAATATACAACTATTTTTATATGTGTATACATATATATATATATGTGTACATATGTGTATGTGCGTGTACTTATTTGTTGATGTATACGCATTCACATACATACATATAGATATAAAAAAAGACTTCATATTTTCTACACATACAGAATTAACTGCAAACGCATTCTTTATGTTCCTCAACTAGCCAGCTGCCACCCCAAGAACCAAAAAAAGGAAGCTTCAACCACGCATTTACTGCCCTGCGTTGCTTAAACTAAGCGCTCTCAGCAATTCTTTTCACAGCTGCACTCCGTTGCCATACAGTGAGGCCCAGCGAAGGCAAACTTGAATGCAGTATCGCTGGCAAACCTCGGAGCTCATGCCCGCAGCAGTGCACCGCACCGCCAACTGCTTAGTTCTGCGCACATAATCTTCATCTAAGTAATTCGCAAAATATCTCGGATTCAGCGGCGCCAGGGGCACCAAGTGACACGCAAGCTGATGCCACTTAGGTCTAAGTTTCCAACGAAGTTGGCGCTTTGAGTGCGCGGAAACGGCCATCTTCATATAACCGCACCGCATTGCAAGCGCGCACATTTTGTACAAACGCATGTCAGATTCAGTCAGGACCCTGGTGTTGCGGGCCATGATCTCCGCCATATTTGCCATTGCGCAGACAGTGCCCGCTTGGGTCCTTGGATTTGCGCAGCGAAAGCAAAAAAACTCTGCTGATAAGAGTGTAAAGTCTACCAAAACTGTATTTAGCCGCAAGCCACACCGCAAATCTACCCAAAGGAAAAGCAAACGTTGAGCAAGAAATTTAACACAGGCGCATGCGTTCCGAGCTGGGGTCAGCAGAAGCGACTTGCCGCATCACACCAGCCAGCCATTGAATGACAAACCTGCACGCCGTCCCAGACATAGTTCGCTGCGAGATGTAAGGGAAAACCACACCTGGTTTTAGTGTGGCCGCGCTAAACATGCGGGACATACACCTGTCTGTAATATCATTCAAATTGCACCAGCTGCGGTAAGACTCAAAAGCAGCCTTAAGGCGTAGCTCGCGTGAGTTTCCAGCGAAAGTGTTCTTGCTGTCCGTAAGGTCAAGAAGGAGTGACCCAATCAGGTCTGGAGCAATGGCCAGATCAGTGACGTGCATCCAGTCGGGAAAAATGCGCCGGTGTGGTAAGAAGCCAGGTACTGAAAGGAGCGGGCTGTCGCCGTGCACATTGATCCATTCTTCGCGGGAAGAAATGCAGGTTGTTTGGTGCAGAGCCGCTGGGCTGAAGTTTGTGTAGAGCATCTCGCTGCTAACGCCAGGCACAGTGCGTGAGGTAGCGCTGCAGTACGCGCAACACTCAGTCTTGGAAAAAAACTGTTCCAGCGTAAACAGTAGCCTAACATAGTCCTGGTCAGCCTGAACTCCATCCAGTACAAACTTGTAGTTGCCAGCGAGGGCCAAACCTGCAAGCTTGTAGCGCTCTGGCATATAAGTCTCAGAGAACTCCGCACCATACGGGTCGCAGCTCGGGTAGACGCCGTTGCCTTGGATACCGCAGGGTGCAGGGAACGCGTGGGCAAGCGAAACGTTAACGGCACCTCCGCGCGCGCAAACAATTGCCAGTAGACGCCCTTGCCTTGAATACCGCAGGGTGCAGGGAATGAATGGGCAAGCGAAACGTTAACGGCACGTCCGCGCGCGCAAACAATGCCAGTAGCGAAACGTTAACGGCACCTCCGTGCGCGCAAAGAATTGCCAGCGCGCGATTAGCAGTCACGCGCGGCGCAGGCAAAAAACATACGCCGGTGCACACACGCTTCCTGCCCTTTTTCCTCTAAACAAAACTTTCTGTGTTGCAAAAATGCATTGGGGGGTAGTTTTGACACTGCTCGGGCCAATCCAAATCCTTGACAAGTCCCAGTGGTCACATTGAACTAACATGACGCTTGTCACAGGTATCCTTTTTGCCTGATGGTCTCCAACAAATAACAAATAGGCATGCCTCCAGCATCTCCCCAAACATGAAGGTTCTTTGAGAAGAACTTATCGTTGTGCGATGGTTTGTCTTCAATATTGGCGCCCCAAAATCCAACGTTTTTTTTGCGTGACAGTTAGCCTTTGTCCATTCCCAAAAGATGCGTGACAGTCATGTTGAACTAGCATGACCCTTGTCAAAGATACCCTTTTTGCCTGATGGCCGTTTCCCAACAAACAAGCGTCCTACAAGCGTATGAAGGTTTTTGAGACAAACTGGTTGGCCAATTAGTCGCACAAGCCCCAAAAGATGCATGACGGTCATATCGAATTTAGTCTCCCAACAAATCAGTGTCCTTCAATCGTCTCCCCAAAAATGAGGTTCTTGAGAAGAACTTGTCATTGCGCGATGGCATATCTTCAGGCAAACTGGTGGTTAGAAAAGGCGTAGCGACCCTTGTCAAATGATTCTTTCCTTTGTCAAAGCTGGTGCACTTCAGACAGCTCCCCCCAGAAAATGGGATGACTTTTGGCAAATAATTTGATTTGCACGACAGCTTGTCTCCAAACTCAAACAGCTCCCAAAGATGAAAGCGGGAAGACCCTTGAGAAAGAACTTCAAAGGGAACCTAATTGTTTAGAGAAAACAAGCACGAAGAAAGTTGTCTCTTGATTTGGTCGCTTGTTCATCTGGGAACTGAACCATTTTGCCATGGGTCATCCTAGTTCAATACAACCGTGCATAAACATACTCCTTTTCAACTGACTAATTGGTCATCGCCGATTCGTCCTGATTTTTGTGGAAATGATTGAAGGACACCAGTCACCCTACTTGAATTCTTGGGGAGCTACTCGAAGAGCAACAAATTCTTCAGAGACAAAATGTTCAGAGACAAAGTGTTAACTCAAGGACACGTTCTTTCCCAAAGCGTTTCCTGTTTGTACTTCAGGCGCGGCGCTCAAAGCCTGAAAGCTCCACGCAACCAGCTCCAAGAGAATCTTTCGAGCGCTGGACCCGCAATAGGATGTGTTCAAACATGTGATCCTTGGTTCGCTCGGCCATTTCAGTAGGTCCCCCCACCCGATCACACACACAATGCCAGCTAAAGTTCAAAAGTCTTGTGTCTATAGTGCTGGATTTTCCACTCACCACAGTCAATAAGCTCATCACTTCATAATGTTGCCGTCCTTATTCAACAACGCGGACCAGCCAAGAACAAACGTCACAAAGCCAAATAGCCACTCAAACAAGCCAGAGGCGCTCCTTGCTTCGGCCCCGTCCCCGTAAAATCTGAGAGGGATCACTCGGCTTCGGCCAGCAGTAGCCTTGACCAGGGGAGTTCAACTTGGCTCGAAAGCATTGCGTTGTAAATAAGCAAGTTGCAAACCAAAGGGCGCGCAAAATTGGATGTTCCCTGTACCATGGAAGATGTTCATTCTCTTTCCAATACTCTTCAATTGCCTCAGCTAGATCCAAGACCTGGAAGCTTTCAGCTGTGGTGGAACCGTTGCCAAGACACGCCAGGAGGCCCCGACACAATCTCCCGAAACACATCCGGAAAGCGGAAGAGCGCCCCGACAGTTTCATGGGGAAGTAGCACATGTTGGTCTATGTGTTCTCGCCGGGCATAGCGCGATTGATCATCAGGGTATTCCTTGGGCGGGTTTCGCGTTTCCTTCAAGCATGAACCCTTAAACTTAAACTACATCAGCCCTCCAAGAAAATCTTTCGGGCATCGGCGATTGAGGTTGGCAAGGGTCACACGGCAGGCGGATCCGAAAGCTCTGTGGCATCAACGATCCTCGGCACAGCGATGGCTCAACACAGGTTCAGAAGCAACAAAAATACCCTACCAACAATAGAATATGCCAAGTCTCTCCAGGGCTGCCTCTTCGTCCATTGTTCCAGGGGATAACCAATGCTCCAAGAAGTTCTTTTTCCATGAATTCGGTTTGCCAGATCCAATATGCTGTTCCTTGGCTGTAGCTTGGGAACTTGCGGATTAAGCCACTGATGCATGAGGGGAGCAAAGGCTCGGGACCAAAACAGAAGGCATGCCCCGAAGCTTGGTCAGAATATTCTTCAATCGCTCCAGGGTGATCTAGCAGGGTAGGGCAGGAAACACGCACGGCAATGGCGGTGCCCACGCCTCACCCTTGCCCAGCATATCCAGGACTTCCGACACCAGGCTGTTGACCACATCGGCGACACCAGACATGTTTGCTGATCAAAACAAGAGAGTTGCCTTATATGTGCCCTGTTGCAATTCAAAGGGTGTTCCTGGATTTTCCTTTTCGAAGGCAGTTTCAGGATTTTTTTGAGCCCCGTATCCACAAGCAATTCAGAGGGTGTTCCTGATTTTTTGTTTCGAAAGTGTGGCGCCCCGTAGCCCCAGCAGGCCGTGGCCCCAAGTAGGCCATGGCCCCAAGTAGGCCATGGCCTCATCTTGAGCATGCATAGATGTCAGGGTCGATGCCAATCAAAACAAGCCTGGTTCAAACTGAAGTTAGGGAATGACGCGCATTCTTTTTCATTTTTGAGCTTCAGACCAAGCCTCAGAGTGAGATGCTACTGGCACATCTCAGCGTGCAGTCAGAGGTGTCATTCAGAAAGTGTGTGTAGAGTTGCACGCTAAGTTGTGTTCTAAAGTCAGCAGCCACTCGCTACCCCATGAACAGGCGGATCGATCAGCGCCCCGGTAGGCAATTACATCGTAATTTGCCAAAAACCCTCTAAGATTGCGATCAACATCCTCTAGACTTTTTCGAAACCTTCTCAGCGGCCTTGTCGGCCTTGCGCTTCTGGGCCTCCAGTCCTCGCGCAAGGGGCGGGACGTGTCAGATATTTGGGGTAACGATGCACCCTTTATAGTTCTCAAAGTTTGCAAAGTGGCCCTCCTCCCTTGAAAGAGTGAGGTGTGGTGCAAACAAGGTTCGGCGGGTGCGGGCGTTCGAGATGACTTCAGCTTCTTGAACTTCGTGCACTGCAGCCTGCCACAATTGCTTTGGGAGTTGCACCTCAACAGCACCTCAACATCACCCTAGTGTGTTGTCTCAGACCCTGCGCCTCAATGGCGGTCTTGTGCCCGTCAAACAGCTTGGAGTACTCTTCAAAGGGCTTCGCTTGGAAGATTGCAGAGTTCACCCTCAGAACAGCTGGAATTGCTGCTGGGTTTCAAGTTTCAATGAGTTCACCCTCGACAAACAGTTTCAAGTTTCACACTCACTGCAAACAAGACGCTCGCAAATGATTCCATTCAGCCTCTCAAAGGTGTGGCCCAACGAAGCCACAGCAGCCTCCAGGGAAACATCAGTTGAAATTCGCATTGGCCATCCATCGTACAAGCCTAGAAACGTCTGCCCCTGTTTTTGCCAAAAGCAACTTGTTCTTCTGCCTCCTGGTTCCTCAAGCCACAGGTGGCCAGCTTGTGGGCCATGCTTCGGGTTTTCTCGCAGAGCTTCCCACACCTGAGTTTCCAACATCAGCTCCACATTGAAAAACACTGCCTTCAGAGGGCCGGTCGATCCACCCGTAATGACAGGAAAAAGGTTGAGAGTTTACGTGGTTGGTTTTGGCTTGGCCCCCGTCAAAAACAGCAAATCAAAAAAGCCTTTCGGCGGTAACTGTGTTTTTCTTTACAGGTTCAAGGATGCCATCAAGGGTCGCAGAAAGGGCCGAATCGAAGTCTTTCTTTGCTTGCTCCTCTGCAGAGCGCCCGGAGGACGCATTGCTCGTGGTCGACTTGCTCTTCGCCTTGGCCTTGGCCTTCCTCTGCTTTGAAGGAGGGCCTGTGTTGGACTCATCCGCATCGAAGCCCACCATTTTGCTATCAAGCACCTCCTGCACCGCTGCCCTGGCAGCTTCACTTTGTGGCACAGCCCCACGCGCAGACGTTCGGACGCCAACCTCCTTGATGTCTGAACCTAAAGGGGGCAAAATCACTTGTAGCAAGGTCCAACACCTAGATGTCATGTTGCGCAGAGGATAGTTGCAAAAGGTGCCCAAATGGAGGCGAGCTAGGTGTTTGGGCATTGGCTGCCAGGGCACTCTCCTCCCTGAATCGCCTGAACACCCGGTACAACCGCATCTCAGGGTCGTCCGGCGCTTGCGGGTGCGGCACACCCTCCTGACCTTAGAACCATGTTCACTTTGAGAAGCGTAGCAAACCGTGGGGCAGAGCTCTCGCATTTACTCGGGGCCACTCAAAGTTATTTTGTACTCTCTTGGGGTTGTTTACTAAGTGGCCGCAGTTGAAAGCACTTCGCATCATCGCCCAAACAAAAGGTCGCCTCCTTGGGTGTGTTGGAACTCAGATTTGAGCTTGGCAAGATTTGTGGAACCCTCGTCTTTCTTCGTTTGGGCTTCTTCTTTCGATTTTGATGGGAACAAAGAGGGTGCAAAGGGATCCCTGCACTCTGACAACTTCTAGGGCCACTGCTGGCAATCAAGTTCTCCAGGAAAGCCTTCTCCGTGTCGGAGGTGTACTCGCGCCTCAACTGTGCCAAGGACACCCGGTCGTAGACGTCGCTCTCTTTGCGCTGCGACAGCCTCGACCATCGAAGAAACCACATCACAGTGGAACTTTTTGTTTGAGAATTGGACTGAGCCTCAGGTCGAAAAGTAGGCCAAGTTGCGCACTTAGTCAAGGGCCTAGCATTCTTTTCAAGCAAAATGGGGACCTGTAAGCTGTTCCCAAACACCAACATGGTGCGGAGTTTGAAATGCAGAATGAGGCGCTCTACGTAGTGGGGTTCGATCACCACATCGCTCAGGTCGCGGTCCAGCATAAATGCTTTCAAAAGCTTGAACCTAAGTTGTTTCATGGTAGAGCATAGCAAGAGCAAGGGGGCATCCCAAACAACACCAGACATGTTCTTGCCAATATGCCACCAGAGCACTTCTCGGCTGGTTTGCCGCAAGCTGCGCGATATTTTTCCAGAAGCCCAGGCTTGAGGCCTCAAACGCTTGTTTGGAAAAGCTTGCCCGGTTGCCCCTTGGAAGGCTGCCTTAAGGGGAGGCCCTTTTAAGTTTCTGGCCATCGGCCGCCTTCATACGCCTGTCGAGCGCTGCGTGCTGGCGTTTGCGTTCTGCGGGATCCATGTCAGATGGCTGGCTGTAGGCCTGCAGCACGCATGAGTTTGCTGGAAGTTAAAGCATGTTGGCTTTACACCATCAAGCGCTGGTTCAGGCCTCGATCTTCTGCCGCACTTCGGGGCTCAACTGTGTCACCTACGCGCCCACGCAAAGTGTTTGCAACCCCTCGCTCCTTTGCATCATGCGTGTAAGGCCCCGACTCGCTGAGTCCGCCCTAGCTCATCAACCGTTGCAACCGGCTTGACGGGAACTGCTCCGGAACCATCAGAAATCAAGGATGTAGTAGTACGTCCCCGTTCCAAGCACCTCAGGCGACAAACCAAGAATGCTAGAGCCGTTGAAAATTGCGGAGCAACCCATGAAAACATAACAGGTTGAGGCTAGCGCTTGCTGTCCGCGCTGCTTCCAGTCTCGGTCTCTGTCGGCGCCTCACTTTTCTGCGGCGTGCTCTGCTTGTCAAGCTGCTCCACCTCGATAGCGCGGTGGTTCTGCAAGTATTCATCCCAAAGCGTGAGGTCCTCTGCGCAGTCAGGAAAGTCCCCTACCCCGAAGTGTTCCGCACCCTCGTCGTCTGTTGCGTTGCACTGTTGCAGGAAGTGATCCCACCAGTCGCACGCCTTGATAGCCTTGATGCGCTGCCTAGCCACGTCTTCTCGCACGTAAGACCAGTCCATGTCAGGAAAGCTGCGCTTTGGGTTAAGCAACAGCGGGTCGTCCACCCAGTCCACTTGCGTGTCCTCAACTGTCTCTGTCAGCGCAACGTCCACAGCCACAATCGCCACGTCGTCTGCAGCGCGGAGCCGTGTCTTGCCTTTGCCCTTGCCCTTACTGGCTTTGCCAACCTGCTTGCCCTTGTTTGCGCCCTTGCCACACTTCGTGTCGACAGGGTCCGTGCTGGGTGGTTTGCCCGTTTGCTCTGCGTTTGCACCAGGCTGCTCACCCTTGCCATGCTGCGCGTCGACAGGATCTGCGCCAGGCTGTTCGTGCTCATCATGGTTGGCTTGCTTGCCCTTGCCAGGCTGCTTGCCCTTGCCAGGCTGTTTGCCCTTGCCAGGCTGCTTGCCCTTGCCAGGCTGCTTGCCCTTGCCAGTCGGTTTGCCCTTGCCGGTCTGTTTGCCTTTGGCGTTTGCGTCACAGCCTTTGCCTTTGCCCTCCTTGCCTTGCTTGCCTTTGCTGCCCACGCCCTTCTCCGCCCCAAGCGTCTCACCTTCCACACCAGCCATTGCAACGCGACACAGAAGTCTAAGCAAAACCGACCCAAAATCCTGCGTGAACAGCACCGCTCAAAACGTTCAGCACCAAACCGCGAAACTTCCTCACAGATGAGATGTTTCGGAGGCATGTTTTCCTGCGCACAAAATTCCTGACTCCAACGCTGCAATATTTACCCCAGCGAGTTCATCTCAGAACTCCTCCCACAGCAGGTAGGGCAAGAACACAGGCTGTGATTGAAGCGACACGGAGGTGCACCCAGGCACACGCTAGTACACGCTAGTACACGCATTCCTCGTCAAAATGATGCTGGATACACGGAAGTACACGCTAGTGCACCCCCCCCCAACCAGGCAACGTGACAACTTGCATGTGCAGTATGTTTGGTGTTCGAAAAGGCCTCCGTGCCAACCCGCACACAGGAAGAGCCAAAAAGGACCCCTTGATTTTCAGGGTGGCTCACAAACTACCAGGTCTTCAAGGCCTGTCTCAGACTCAGACCCGCTTTCATCCTGAAAGCTCAGCCCCACGTCAGGAGCAACTCTTTGCGGCGGAGCTTTGTCCAAATCCTCCTTGAGAAGGCGAGCGACCTGGGTGGGGTTTCAGAGTCACGCAACGAAGTACGCTTCCCTAGGTTGCACTTCTGCACATGGTTCAACTTGCTTGCTAAATGCACCCAAACCGCTGCTAGGCCCAAGCCAGCAGGATAACACTGCGTAGCACGCAAGTCCTTTCCACCAGCCTTGGTCCAGTCACTCCAGGAACGCTCGTCACACCGTTTGTTCAAAGAAGCAAACAAGCTTGGGGGCTGACAACCTTGGCCTTGCCATCAGAGCCCACGCATTTCTTTGTAACCTGTATGTTGAGCGAGCTGGCAAGCTTTGAGAGTTCCCACCTGCGCCAAGCCACATCTTAACTGAGGCAAACCCTTGAAGACTTTCATCAATCACAATTGTCAAAAGCAGGCCTCCTGACCTCTGTCATAGGCACTGGCAGCTGCGCAAGCCATGGGGCATTGCCCCACAAGGTAACCCGCTTGAGAGAGGTTGCCCCCATTGCGCCCAAGCTCAGGCACACTCCCTTCGCGTTGGCCTGCTTGAAGAGAGCCTGGCGGCAACCGTCAATGCCCCAAACTTGAAACCTACTTTTTTGATCCCCCAACCAAACCAAGCCATTTGTTGAGGCTCAGGCTCTCTTTAAAGCAAACCAGGTTGAGGCTCCCCCCGGCTCAACCAAACCAAGCCTCTCCCCCAACCATTTTTTGAGGCTGACCAGTTGAGGTTCTCCCCAACCAAACCAAGCCAAGGCTCCCCCAACCAAACCAAGCCTCTCCCCCCACCATTTTTTGAGGCTCTCCCTGAACCAAACCGTTGAGGTTTTCCCTAACCAAACCAAGGTGTTTGGTTGAGGCTCCCAACCAATCGTTCCAGCTGAACCAGGTTGATGCTCCTTTCCTACCAAACCAAGCCCCCAACCAATCAGGCTCCCAACGAAACAAAGCCTTTCGTTGAGTCCCAAACAAAATCCTTTGAGTTGCCCTCTCCCCCCCAACCAAACGAAGCCTTTGGTTGAGGCTCAACAACTGCAGCTCAACAACCTCTGGAGTCCTTCAAGGCGGGGATGCGGAACACCAGGCTCGTAGGCGGATTTTCCAGGACAAAGTAGATGTTTTTGGTGATCGCATATTTGATCCTCACAGCAGTAGTTGCAACTTTCGACCACCCTGGCTCACGGACTTTTTGGGATCTTCGAAACAAAACCCATGAGCCCTGCAAACACGGTTCCAAGACAGGGATCCTCAAAAAGTTGAGGGAGGCCGGTTCGAAAGACAGCAAGCAATTGCACTGTTGGCCACTCAGGCTCTGGCAAATATGTGACGCGTTTGATCAGGCGGTTTGCCTCAATCACCTTTGTGAATCGGCGTGTCCCTTTGATTCGCAGGGGCGATCTCTTCGTTGTTGCTCGGCTCAAAAAAATCCATGAGCTGCACGGCGCAGCAATCCAAAGGACTCCTTGTGGTCTGATCCGCCGGACAAGGTTCAACCCAAGTAGAAATCCAAAAGTTCCAGCCAAATTCATTTTGGCAGAGTACTCCACATCCACCGCTCTGGCCCTGAGGCCTGCCAGATTCACGCTCCTTGGACTCCTTCCACCTGAGAAGGGGCTTTGAGGCAAAGCGCATGGCTGAAGGAATGTAACCCCGCCTTTGCTCTTGGGTGGCACGAGAGTAAATCTGCATAGGCTCCAAAAACTTCTTCTTGAGCAAGGCGTACGCAGTTGGTTTGTTTTCCCGTTTTGGCTGGTTGTCACCGTCAAGCTTGGCAGGGCTGGCTTTGCCCTTGTCTTTTTGTTTTCAGCCTGCCTTGGCTTTGCACTTTGCTTTTGTGGCTTTTGGCTCGGGAGGCTGCCACTCTGGCTCAGTCAAGTGTCGCAACTTTGTAGCAATCTTCTTGCCGGCATTGGCTTGGCTTGGGTTTTGTGTGTCTGGCGGGGCTGTTGCTTCTGGTGGCTCAGCTGCCCAGTTGTCCGGTGGCAGGCTTTCTTCCTTGTCAGTCGGCCCCTCCTCCCCAAACCACTCCTCCCCCCAAGACCCTTCATAGGAACCCTCCAGAGTATCCTCCACCCACACATCCCCCCATTCTGAATCCTCCACCCAAGAATCCTCCCCCCAATCCTCATCCTGAGGCCAATTTTGGGCGTCAGCCCCTTCAACATCTGGGATGGTCTCCTCGCACGCTTTGGGCGGGGGCTCCAAGAGACTTGGCGAAAGCCGAAGTGTGGGAGCGCGCAAGAGCTCATCAGTGTCGAGGTTCTCATCACTGCTTGTTCGCCAGCAAACTTGAGAGTCCTTGCAAACGGGTTACAAAGGGCTAAATTCACGTTGCAGTTTCTGGAACTTTTGGGGTTTCAGGTTTCCGTCAATCCTGCACGGGGCTCAGCAAGTTTCAGTCAACATGTGACATTGCCAAAACAAAGAGGGTTGTGACCGGAAACCCCAAGGGGCACGTCCAAAAGCCTTTTGGTCAAAACTACATTTGGGCTGCTTGGAACTGCAAGCTGCTACGGCTAAGAAACTGTTGGAAACCACCAGATGTCAAAGGCCTTTCCTTGGAACTGGTTTGTTTAGACCGCCGCTGCAAAAATGTAAAACCTCTAAAGGGAGTTGTGTGGGAGTTTGGAGATTGCTTGGAACCAACTCAAGTTGCACACCGTTGGCTCCCTCCCCCCACCTGCTCGAGCGGATTGGCTTGCTTTTTCGGAGATACTGACTCCTGACACGGCGAACTGTGTGGAAACCCTCAAGCATTCTTTTGGAAGCCCCGTCTCTAAACTCATCAAAGATTGTCAGTCCTCCTTGTTCTCCTCAGCTTTCTTGGGCGCAGGAACTTCAGAAAACGCTGGTACATTCGGCAAATCCTGCATGGCCAACTTACGCAAGCGAAAGCGCAAACATACTCAAAGCAAGGGGAAAGCTCCTTCTTCAGCTTCAGACCACCAAGGCAAACTTGGCGAGTAGCTTTGGGAGGAGCATCAGCCACCTGGCAACGGTTTTGTCTCGTTGGGTTGGAACTTGATTGGGCCGAAACTTCAACACCGGCGCATTACTCCCAGTGGTCAAACTCATACCCTTTGTACAGAACTTAAGGTGTTGGGAAAGCCACTAGCATTTGTAAGCGCTGCCCGGGCCTTGTCAACAAAGGCATGCGTTGGCCAATCCTCCGGAGCCTTAGTTGCGCCGAAAACTCGTGTTCGATCAAGCTTTACACAAAGAGAGGAATTATTGGGTGACTTGTCCCACAAAGGCCAACACCTTTTTTTTGTTTCGGGATTGTTTGCTACTCTCTCAGAAACTGCCAAAGCACCTCTTCATGCCAAGGGGCTACAGGCTGGGTCTCTTCGTTGTCCATTGGGGTTGCCCACCAGCGGTAGGATTCACGAGCAGCAAGGTTCCGTCTTGCGCGGAGGGCAAGGTGCTGAAGTCTAAGAGCCTGCTCGTTACTCCACGAAGAAATGCTTTGTGTTGGTTGCAACGGTACTCGAAGATTGTGTTGTTGCAAGAGGCATGCTATAGCTTCCTCGCATGCCGCGCGCGTGAAATATTTCCCCCTGAACTCCTCCGAGCAAACCCATCGTAGGCATTGTTCAAGCTCTCGTGTGTGCAAGTTGGACCCACATGGAAACAGATCGCCAGTTTGTTGGAACCTTTTCTGCTTGTCGGCCGGCTTCAGGCACTGGTCAAAAATGTTCCTCGCAATTGCCACGGCTTTCTCGTGGGTGTGTGTGTACTTGGTGCCCGAGCGCTTCATTGGCCAACGTGGGCGGACAAGGCTTGATAGACCAGTTGCCAATCAAAAACATCGCATTTGATGTTGATGCTGTTGTCTTTGAACATGACTTTCAACGCCAAGTTTTCCCTGTTGCCATCCTAGACAGTCCATCCAGCCAAAATGCTCGAAAACACAGGCCGACAAAAACAATTGTCCATGCGCCCAACCTCAGGCTTGGCCACACAAGCTCGAGCTCTTTTGCAAGCTCTCAGGCGCAGCCACGCGTGCCAGGATATGTGTTCAATTCAAAGGTCCTCAGAGTTGCAAACAGTCTCCTTTTCTCAAAGGGGAAATCAAAATTTGAATGCCCCCCCACCATGATTCAAGGGTCAAATTCTGGCAGTTAACAACCGACAAGCCAAACGCAGCCAAGTACAGCCCAGCGCAGCCAACTACGGCCAAGTACAGCTCAAGTACAGCCAAAGCACAGCCAAGTACAGCCAAGCACAAGCAAGTACAGCCAAGTTCAGCAACGTACAGCCAAGCAGAGCCAAGTACAGCCAAGCACAGCCAGGTACAGCCAAGTACAGCGAAGTACAGCCAAGCGCAGGCAAGTACAGCCAAGTACAGGCAAGTACAGCCAAGTACAGCCAAGTACAGCCAATCGCAGCAACTACAGCCAAGTGCAAGCGAAGTACAGCCAAGTACAATTAAGTACCAGCACAGTACAGCCAAGTACAGCCAAGTACAGCGAAGTACCAGGCAGAGCCAAGCACAGCCAAGCGCAGCCAAGTACAGGCAAATACAGCCAAGCACAGCCAAGTGCAGCCAAGCACAGCCAAGCACAGCCAAGCACAGCCAAGTACAGCCAAGCATAAGCAAGTACAGCCAAGTACAGCCAAGTACAGCCAAGCAGAGCCAAGTACAGCCTAGCACAGCCAGGTACAGCCAAGTACAGCCAAGTACAGCCAAGTACAGCAAAGTACAGCCAAGCACAGCCAAGTACAGCCAAGTACAGCCAAGTACAGCCAAGTACAGCCAAGTACAGCAAAGTACAGCCAAGCACAGCCAGGTACAGCCAAGTACAGCCAAGTACAGCGAAGTACAGCCAAGCGCAGCCAAGCACCAAGCAGGGCCAAGTACAGCCAAGCGCAGCCAAGTACAGCAAAGTACAGCTATGTACAGCCAAGCACAGCCAAGTACAGCCAAGTACAGCCAAGTACAGCCAAGTACGGCCAAGTACAGCGAAGTACCAAGCAGAGCCAAGTACAGCCAAGTACAGCCAAGTACAGGCAAGTACAGGCAAGTATAGGGAAGTACAGCCAAGCACAGGCGCAGCGCGAAGTATAGCCAAGTACAGCAAAGTACAGCCAAGTACAGCAAAGTACAGCCAAGTACAGCCAAGTACAGCCAAGCACAGCCAAGTACAGCCAAGTACAGCCAAGTACAGCCAAGCACAGCCAACTACACCCAAGTACAGCCAGGCGCAGCGACGTACAGCCAAGTGCAACTAAGCACAGCCAAGTACAGCCAAGCACAGCCAAGCACACTACACCCAAGTACAGCCAGGTACAGCTGCCAAGTACAGCCAAGTACAGGTGCAGCGAAGTGCACCCAAGTACAATTAAGTACAGCCAAGTACAGTCAAACAAAACAGCCAAGCACAGCCAGCCCAGCCAACCAAGCCCAGCCAAGCACGCGGCCAAGTACAGTCCAGCACAGCCAAGTTCAGCCAAGCACAGCCAAGCGCAAGACAAGTTCAGCAAGCGCAGCCAAGTTCAACCAAGTTCAAGCAACTGCAGCCAAGCGCAGCCACGGCCAAGCACAGCCAAGTGCATGTAAGTACAGCCAAGCCCGAATCCAAATTCGATACATGAAGCTATCAATTGTTGCGGGCGCTTGCAGGTGCGCCAGGTAGGCCACTCATTTTAGCCCGAGATGCGTCGCCGCTTCCGTGTTTTCGCCTTTGTCCTTAAATGCAGCAGGTGTGCGGCAAGAAATGCTGGTGCACTTAGTTAGGAAGCTGGAATGAGCTGAGTTGCTTCGCCTCGGGTTTGGCCGCCTTCTTCAAACCATCCTTGAGGTGGCTTTGCTCCAGGGGGTGCAATGAGGTGTGCGTGCCCTCCAGGCAAGCCTGAAAATAGACATAGTCAGGGTGTTCTTGCAAATCGTCCCACTCAGAGAGATTGATTGTAAATTGTTCCTTGGGCGTACGCACTCAAATTCACAAACCCACCAAGCCCGGATGCTCGAAGTTGCCAGGCAGCTGGCCGCGTCATATCCTTTTTCGCATCGACGGGGACATCTGATTCAGCCTGCGCAGATCCATGTGAGTGATTCTTCCCCACACCCTGCAACTATCAAACGAACAGGTCTGAAAACTTAAAGAACCAGCAATTAGCTCTTTTTTTCTTTAGCTTCCCTTTTACAAACTGTGGACAGCCCCTGTCAGCGGTCACATGGGAAGATTTGCTTGAGCATTTTGAGTGGCTGTGGGGAATGGTTCTTGTCTCTGAGCCATCAAAGAACGCAATGCAAACCATACACAAGTGACTTTAAGGGGCCAGTCCGGTGAGTAGAGACCCACTATTCTGTTGGTGGAGCACACTTGTCAATTGGCATTGTGGCACTAATTGCCCCGCGCCTCAGAGACGCTCTCGCTGTCTGGCGGGTTGTTGCTTTCCTTCGTTGGCCCGAACCAGCGTGCCAGCACTTACACGAAACAGACACAATTGTAAATGGAAACATTGCAATATGAGCACAGATGCATTTTACACAAGTTTGCCAAGTGTAGGAAAAGTTGTAGTAAGCGCTTGCCAAATCTCGGCGGGCGCGCAGTCAGCACTTGGCTTTGCAGAGTTTGAAGTAGAGGTGATCAGGTTGCCCTTGCCTCATTGGCACTCAGGATCCAGTTTGCCAAGAACGACACAAAAAGGCTGTGTCAATTCCCAATAGTTTGCCACTCAAACTCAACTAACTCATCCGTGAAACTGGCTGTCAGACCCTCCGCTCTGCAACGCAAAGCTTGCGAACTAAAGCACCAGCCAAGTTGCTGTCTGACGCGGTCTTGCAAAGCAAGTGCTTGGCCAGAACCATGGCTTCACGGAAAAGGAGCGCACACGCTGACAGACTAAGTTGCCCCTGTCCCTTTTCTGTAGCGCCCAAGAAAACGCTGACAGACTAAGTTGCCCCTGCCCCTTTTCTGTAGCACCCCAAAAAATGGAAATCGTGAAGCCCGCTCGCGAACCTTCCACGGCCGTGCAGGACAGGCGAAGTTCAAACATCACTCTTTCAAGTCACGAAGAGGACAGCCCTGAGTGCAAAAATGGAGACACCTATAGATACATTGTTTTCGCGAGAGCTGTTGCTGAAATTGCTTTCTAGCGGGCAAGACTTTGAGGTTCCCTTTGCTTTCAGCTTTGGCTGGAGGGTTTGGTTGACCACAAGCGCGCCCGAAGCAGGAGTTGCGATGGCCCTCTCTGATCTCAAACCCATTTCACACTAACGTGCAAGAGGTTTGCACAAAAGGGGGGAACCTGTGCGCGTGTGTGTCAATCTTGTTTCTGAACCCAAACTGTCAGAGATGTTCAGGAAGGTTGCTTCAACCTCAATTTTACAACCGGGCTTTTTTGGTATATATCACCCGGACACTTTATACTGGGATAGCAAACCCCTAAACCTTCACCCTTGCAGTTAGCATCAGTATGAAACTCACACCTCGACAGCTGTGAGACCAGGGTTCCATTTGCGCCCTGGAGCCGCGATGTACGCATATGTGTATATACACATGTATATGTATTAAATATACATATATAACACACGATATACGATATGGACGTTAGCTGCTTTGGCGCACCTCAGAGTGGCTCAAAGGGACTGGCAACCCAAAAGCCACCCATGCGCGGGTGGAGCGCTCTGTGGTTGATCTTCCATCATGTCTTTGGGCAACTTGCCTCAAGGCTCTTGCTGTATACTGGAAAGGGCAGCAGCATGCGTGGTCCGCAAGAAAGGACCAAAAACAGCTTACAGCGTCCACAACACACGAGCTTGGGCGCTTGACATCTAAGCAAAAGCGCATAAAAGTGCGCCAACCTACTCTGCTCCAACTTAAGGGACGCAGCTGCGAGCAGAATCGCGCCGGAACACGCTTGTGGAGCAGAAACAAGCCGGATTGGCAGGAACAAGCCGGATTGCAGAACTCTGCCGGATGGCCCGCCCTGGCTGCGGGAGTGCGGAAGCCTTCCTCGGGAATTGCCTGCAGGGGCGTGTGCTGCAGGGGCCGGGGGTTGGGGTCCTTGCTGGACTGCACAAAATCGTCCAGGTAGAAGTGGCTTGTGATGAACGAGGTGGCCTTGCGGTCCGGTTGGTCCAGGGGCAGCGGCTCGTTCCGCTCCAGGTAGCCCACCACCTGCTCAAAGCGCGGGCGCTGGTTGAAGCCGTGCGCCCGAAGTGTCTTCATTTACTGTTGCGCAACTTCGTCCGCCGCCCGTTCCACGCCCCGGCGCTCGGCCCGCGCGTAGCGCAGCTGGGGTACCTGGCGGCGCACGGCCTCCGTCAGCCGGCTCACGTCGTCCAGGTGCCGCTGCCCCTCCTGCGCCTGCCTGCGCTCGCCCAGCCAGTTGTTGAAGGCCCGCGGCAGCGGCTGCAAGTTGTAACTGGGGTACGTCTTGCGGAACCACCGGAGCATCCGCGGCTCGTTGCGGGGCTCTTGGACATCATGCTTTTATACCAGTACACTTGCGCCTGCGGTCAGCCGGTCATAAGCGGACTGCCTCTCCAGCACGCGCAGGGCGCGCTGCTGCTCTCTTGTGAGCTGAGGCGGCTCCGGTGCAGCCGGTGCCTCCGCCGGTGCCTCCGCCGGTGCCTCCGCCGGTGCCTCCGCCGGCGCCTCCGCCGGTGCCTCAGCCGGTGCCTCCGCCGGCGTCTCAAGTGGAGGCTTTGGCTTGCGCTTTGGAGCAGCCGGCTCAGTAGGCACGTCCTGCTTAGGTTTGTTCTTGCTCCCAGGGTGGCGCAGCGTGCGGTGCCTCCGGCGCAGCGTGCACCTCTTGCGCCTCCGCCTCGTGTTCGGTCGGCTCCATTTAATTATACGTGGTCAAGATATAACACGAACGACAAAGACGACCCGCGAAGCCGGACGACGTTGCCGTCCAGGTCGGTCAGGCGGAAGCGCATGTGCCTCAGGGTAACCGGGCCACTGAGGGCCATGAAGTGCCCGTCGTCTGAGCCCGTCTCCACAATGGTACCCACTCCGCTCTTCAGCGTGATCTTGGAGAGGATGTCGTCGCCCAGGTTTCCCAGCACTCTGCTGGCGTTGGCCAGCTGGGCGCAGCGCAGGTAGACCTCGTTGTGCGCCATCATCCGGACGAACTCAAAGACCTGCTGCCCGCCGGAGACAAAGCTTGGGCCCAGCATGTGGTCCACGCTGAAGGGCTTGGTGGGAGAGGCGGGCGGCGCAGCAGGGTAGTCCGCGACATCAGGGAATTGCTGCCGCAGCTCCAGGTCGTTCAGAATGAGCCTGTTGCCGTCGTAGGCAACGCTCAGACTGTTGGTGGTCTCGCTGTAGGTGGCGGTGGCAAAGTTGGAGCTGATCCAGGCGGCCAACCGTGCGCCAGTGTACGCGCCCCCGGGCAACAACGCCCAGTTCAGCGTGCCCAGCGCGGCGTCGACCCAGTAGAGGTAGCGGCCCCGGTCCGTGGACAAAAAGTCGGCCAGGCGGATCTTGTAGACGGCGAGCCGGGCGTCGCTCTGCAAGTGCAGGGACTCTCCCAGGTCTACCTCAAAGTCGCTGTCCGAGCCGGCCACTCTCTTGCGGCTGTCCACGTAGATCGTCGTCATCCTTTTCCATAGGAGGCCGCCCGTTCTGCGGACGATGGGCGGCTGGACGGCTGCGACGGAGGTGCAGCAGGAGATGTTTTCACATTTTGCGTTTATCAGCGTCGAGCTGGCGAACAGCTTCTGGCCCAGGAAGCTGAGCGCCGCCCCCATCGGCGTCTTTTTCAAGTGCGAAGCGCTCTTCAAAGCGCTTGTAGAACATTTCATTCCTCGGCTTCAGGTAGTAGACAAAGAGGAAACTGTAGGGTTCCCGCGTTGCCTGCTCGTACAGCCGGTACAGCTGCTCCTTCGGCAGCTGGGCGCTCAGCTCCTCAATAACGGCGTCCAGCTCGTGCTGGTTGCGCAGCCTCCAGCAGCAGAGGAATTGCATGTTCACCCGCACCGCTGCGCTGATGAGCCGCAGCTTCACCCAGGTACTGATCTGCATGTGCCGGCCCCGGATGAAGAGAGTGTCCAGGGCGCCGTGAGGCTTGTGCAGCTGCGGCGTGTCAGCAAAGTCGTCGATGACTACAAGCACCTGGTACAGTTTCTTCATTTCCAACTTCTTGGACGCCTCCGTGATCTTGCGCTGCTGCTGGATGATGCGCCGCAGCGCCGCCTCGTCCCACTCGTCCCAGTACGTCTGCTCCCGCTCTGTGTTCACCCCCAGGTCCCCCTCAATGTACTTCTTGACGGGGATCCAGCCGTCGTCTAGGTTCACACTCGGGCTGAAGACGTAAATTCTCTCAAAGACGCCGCGATACTGCTCCAGAATCAGGCTGATCAGAGCCACGGTTTTGCCCGACTTTGATGGCCCGAGGAAGATGCCCGTGCATGGCACCAGGGGCACCACGGGGTCAGAGGGCTGCTTACTGCCATACTCTGTCGTAGGAAACAGCTTGATCTTCCCCATTTCCTTTGCGTTACTTGCCAAATTTGAAGCCGGGAAGCCGGGCGGCGAGTCCGGGAGAAATGCCATATTTACGGCATCGCAGCCGGAGTTTTCCGTCAGCGTCCTGCTACACAGCAGGACGCTGGCGGAGTTTTCCGGGCAATCCGGGGCGGCGAGTCCGGGAGTGCGTCTGTGTGCACCGACGCGCTCCCAGAGTTTTCAGGGATAAACCAAAGGGCTGGTATGCAGCTGAAGTACTTTGGAAGCAAAGCGTGGTTAGCTCCTCACCTGGACCGGCTGCTGGGGGACGTCGCCGTGCTTCACTCTCCCTTCTTCGGTTCTGGAAAGCTGGAGTACTACCTCGCCGCCCGGCGTCCGGGCTTGGAGGTGCGCGGCGTCGACGCCTTCGAGCCCGTCGCAAATCTGCACCGCTGCTACTTGAGGCAAGACCCGGTCTTCCTGCGCTCCTTGCTGCGCCTGGTGGGGCGCAGGGTGGACAGGCGCTTCTACTTCGGGCACCTCCTGCCGGGCGCGCTGAGAGGCCGTGCCGGGCGCCGGGCTGCCTGCGCGTACGCCCTGCTGCGCAACAGCTTCTCGGGGAAGTGGGGCTCCTTCGCACAGCAGCGGCCGCTGGCACTGAGCAGCGTGCGGCGTC